ACTCCGACCCAAAAGATAGGTAGTACAGTTCCATTTAGGGGTACGACGCCTTCTCTTAGATCTAACATGCCTCTTCAGCCCAGCACGTCTACAAACCCCGCAGCTCCAATTATATCCCCGAATAATTCTCTGTCCGGCGTATCGGTTACTTAACAAAGCCCTACTATATATCCAGCAAATAATTCATACATGAATTGCCCTAAATCATTTATGCCCCAACCTAGTTCAGGCTTCCCACCATTTAAGGCCAATTGCTCTCTGGTACGTCAACCTATCTCCTTTGACTGGCAACCTAGACCTGGTTTCCCAAACCTTCCTTCTTATAGCCGCCTACCCTCACCCATTAGCCCCTACTTTCCTTCTAGCCTTCCTCCTCCCCTTCCTCAATTATTTAACTACCAACAAGTCTATCCATGTTCTAACTCCCCTAGCATTCCAATGTTTGAAAACTATATCCCCACCTCCTTTAGGTCTCATACTCAGCATTCTCTTGCTGACTCTCCGTACGTCAATAACTCTAAATTAACTGGTACTTATACTCAAAGTGTAATTAATTCGCAGCTTACATATCCGCCTCCAAATTTTTTTAAATACCGTCGAAAATAGCATTGCCGTTCGAAACACATTAGATATTATATTGTTGAATGCCAGGTCTGTTATAAACAAGATGGCCCAAATCAGAGCCATTGCTCTGGAAATGACGCCTGATATTATATGTTTAACAGAATCTTGGACACATTATCTAATTCCTGACTCTGCCCTTCTCATAGATGACTTCGATTTTTACCGCCAAGACCGCACAACTAGGTGTGGGGGTGGTTGTCTTCTTTATCTTAAATCCTAGCTAAAGCACTCTCCCTATTACTTGGATGTTTCCTCATTCACGGGAAACTTCTGCTTTGCATCTGTTATTCTCTCGCGGCAAAGAAAGGCAGTTAATGGCTGTATCTACAATCCCCCAAATTCTTTAGCCAGTGATGATTCTCAAATCTGTGACATCTTTAAATTAATTTCGGAAGCTGCTTTCGATGTTAAAATAATCACTGGGGATTTTAACCTTCCTGAAATCGACTGGGTTTCCAAAAGCTGCCCACCCCGATTCCAGCCCTTTCAAGATATTGTCAATTTTTCTAATTGGTCCCAACTGGTGCGCTCTCCAACAAGAGATAATCACATTTTAGATCTAATCTTTACCAATGACACTGCTCCTCTTTCTGTTGCTTTAAAAAAGGACCTCTTTGACAGTGACCACGTATTAATTCATTGTTGCCTACCGCTTGCCTTTTCAAAAAAGACAAGCGCTGTTCAGACTTTCATGAACTACGACTGCGTAGATAGCGACTTAATAAATAACTATATGAGATCCTTGGATTGGTGTGGCTTCCTCACTTGTAGCGATGTAACCATTCTTCGTGATGTCATGTCCAATGTTTCCAAGGACATTCTAGAGTTTGTGTCGCGCAGATATCTCAAGCCTAATTCTTCAGATTCCCTTGTTCCTCATTTTCTTCAGAAAAGGTTGAGGCGACAACTGCGTGACCCATCCTCCAGTTCCTTATCTGTTCATCTTAGAATCACAGAGATTTTTGAGATGGCCTCAAGGATGCGCCAAGCGCGCGACAGGCTAAGAGAATCAATTGCTCTCAGTGGTTCGAACCCTGGCAAATCCGTCGCTAACATCTTCCGTCATCGGTCCTCCTCTAAGCGTGGTCATGAACTTCCCCCCCTGCAAAATGATAACAAAGTCTTCCTCACCGATGACACTGACAAGGCGGAGTTGTTTAGTGCTTTCTTTGCAAAACACCTTGCTACCGAGTCCGATCCGGTCCCTTTCTTTCGATCACTTTCAGATAGGACACTTAGTACAATTGATGTCTCCTCAGATCTCATTAAGAAACACATAAGCCGTTTGAAATACTCACACTGCTCAGGAACGGACGGGATTCCGAATTCGATTATTAAACAAGCGTCCGACTTTCCCATATTGCTCAGTCATTTATTCTCGGTTTATATTTCAAAAGGATTCTTTCCTGAAACATGGAAAACGTCAATTATCATTCCCGTCTTCAAGTCAGGATCTCCGTCCGATGTTAATAACTATCGGGTCGTGCACAAAACGCCGTCTCTAGCAGAACTTCTTGAAAGGATTATTTTCAATGAAATTCTTGACTTCTGTCTAGCTAATCGGCTTCTGAGCTCTAGTCAGCATGGATTTTTACCTGAACGATCCTGCAAAACATGCCACTTGGCTTTTCTTAATCTAATCACTTCTCTTCGTAATGAGCGGCAGTCAGTGGTAGTTATTTACTTTGATCTTAGCAAAGCCTTTGACAAGGTGCCCCATAGACGTCTTTTAGTAAAATTGGAAGCTCTCGGCATCCGGCCGCCTCTAGTCGACTTCATCAGGTCCTATCTGTCCAACCGATATCAGAAAGTCATGGTCGGTAATAGCTACTCGACGCCCCACTCGATCACGAGTGGCGTACTTCAAGG